TAAAATAAAATAAAATAAAATAAAATAAAATAAAATAAAATAAAATAAAATAAAACTAACTATACACGCTGCATTATCTTGCAATCTTTGTTCCTGTGTATTCATCGTCGATGTTCTTACTGAATGATACTCGGTAGTCTTATACAATGTTGGCATTCAAGTTAAAAACCGCAAAACAAAATGACAATTCTCCAATGTTTTATAGGACTATGTCGATAATGTCTAAACTAGTTTATGACAGAACTAGCGTTATTATTGAATACGTTTTGTATGTATTTGATTTTTCATTATTTGCAAATCAAATAAAAAAAAGACAGTCACGCTTATGTTGAATATTTGAACAAATACAAAATAAAAAAAAACATGTTTACATTAAACAACTGTCGGGAATGGTCACGCAACCCACCGTAACGGTTAGACCTATGTTAGAAACCATGACTCTTTATTTGGTCAGCTTATCTATATTATATAACACTTTCAGACACGTTTTTGTGTCCCGGACGCGCGTACGAGTGTTAAAACAAATTATGCACAAGTAAGACTGAAATTTAGTCATATAGCGGACTTGAACTTTCACGCTCTGGGGACTCTCAGGCTGATCGTTTTCAAGTCGTTGCCCAAGTACTAGAGTGACTGCTGGTGTCTCCATTTTTGCTGCTGAGACGCCCCTAACAAGATACCCGTTCGCTGCTAAGCATGTATGCTAAATTTGGCAGGAGCGTGCGTGTGTTACGTTTACGAGGCAGGAACTTGAAGAGTTAAAAACAACTTTACCCGTATTCCGCCGCTTCCATTCAAATGTTTTACAATTTTGTAAAATAGTAGACGAGAATTAGTTTTCTCTGAGTTAAGTGTACACGAAGGCTCAATACACACGCCAAAACATTTACTTCAGAAAGATTCGTAATATGAAACACATCTCCCCCACCGCTTCAGAGTGATTATTTCACTTGTGTTCATGGTTTTATCATTGAACCCTCGTTGAAGCTACGGTACACGCGCACTCGTCGAGATACGGGATACGTTTCCCGATAAACGAATTGCCCCTTAATAGGTTGATGTTTGATCTATGTCAAATAATCCATCCAAAATAGATCATCGGACTCTTCCGGTGGACTTTTATTATATTAGTATATTTTCGACGGAATAACACAGAACCCTTCTATCGGGAGAGCCTCGAGGGGGGGGGGTGCCGTATGGTATTCATGATCCACGCGTACGCCTGTTTGTTCGAGATCATTGATATAAATGCAAGTGCGTACTCCACGAGAATTGAGGAAGAAAAAGAGTTACAGAAACGTAAAACAACCGTGCCTCCAGTCTCTATCATTTATACCCGCTGTCATTTAACGTTTTTTTCATTCAGTTTGCTGGCCTTCAAATACGCGTATCCTCCGATAACCCCAGAGAGAACAATCAACCGTAATGTCCTTGATGGTGACTGGCAGTTGTAAAAGAGCTGCCGTGGGCGCTGATTGGCTGACTAAACGTCGGAGTGGGCAGGTAATGGATACTTGTTCTTTCGCTTGACGAACGTTTCGACTGTCTGTCAAAATTCGTGGGTGGGAGCGAGCTGCTTGGCATTCCCGTCGACGCTACCCACATTTGCACGCCACAATACTCAACTCATTTCCATGGAAATCGCTACATTTGCGGTGAATTCGATACACGTGATTGGTTGATGGGTTTATTTGGCGAGCGTGGACGTCCGACTTGAAACTCAGCGGTACTATTTCCGTAACGATACGTACGATCGTTAGAATATTCTTTTTTCTTCCCCAAAGTTGAGTTGATTTGATCGGACTTTTCTGCTTGATGCGTGTGTGTTCGCCTCCCGTGTCCCCATTCAACCCCGCTTGGTGGCAGCGCCATTGAAATCATATGTATAGTTGGTAAAGTGCACCAAAGTTACCGATCGAAGCCCGCCTAGTACACTTCAGTGGAAACAAGTCTGATCTCCGACAACGGTCACTGGCAGCATGTACGCCGGTCGCAAAAGGAGACGACCTGTTAAACGGTAAGCCTTAATTAATATAATCTCACACACCAGTCTAGAGCTCGACACTCGCCGTTCTGTGGCTAAAATCTGTGAGCACGCTAACTTATAGGCATAGATCGCGTGACTGATCCCCGCCATACTCCCTGTCTCGCACACATACAACTTGTTTACAATCTGTTGTGCTACGGTAAATTGTTAGTTGGCTTGCAACGGATCTTCTGGTCGACACGCACACCTCTTTACAACACGGCATTAAAATCATTAAATCGACTCGAAACGGAAGCCGTTTTTTGTGTGCGTGTTGACATGCGTGTGTATTTTGTTTTAGGGTACCTCGGAATCTGGACAACGAAGTAAAATCGAACCCCAGTAAAAGACATCGAGACCGGCTCAATAAAGAACTCGACAACTTGGCAGCGCTCCTACCGTTTGACGAGGACGTAATTTCCAAATTGGACAAATTGTCAATATTACGACTAAGTGTTAGCTACCTACGAAACAAGAGCTTCTTCCAATGTAAGTTAATTGATATCATTCTCTCCTAAAATCACTTGAAATTCTTGTTTTGTTTTTTGTATGCTGTCTGACCTTACGACCATGTTGACATAAATGCAATTTTGTTTACATTTGGGATCAGCAAAACACCCCCTTGCACTGCGGTTGTTCCCCCAGACACGTTTTGTGACCGCCGTCCGTTCAATGGTTCCATCATTTGCATCACCGCGGCCCGACTAACGCATCTACTGGCATCCGAAGTCCGCTTCACCTGTGGTCCGCTGGCCACTTTGCGTTCATTATATAAAACCGCACACCCACACTGTAAATTACCCAACGTCTCTTCCTATATGCTTTTTAGTGGCCCTTTTTCATATTATACATTTAAAGGCACTGCTTCGATCCACTGCCTGTTTTGATATAACGGTTCCCGCATTGTGAAACTATAGAACGCACGCCGTTCAAAATACGGTATATGAAACATTTGTGTTGCATTGTGTTTGAATTTGACCAATCTCATCGAGTTTCAATTGATGAGACTGCTTGTTCTAGAATATAGAAATTGAATTTTAGTCCACAAATTTTAAGTTCTTTCAACTTTTTATTAGAAATATTTGTATTTTAAGAAATGAGCTAATGATTCACCATAATTAACTGAGTGTATTAAACAAGCTCATACTAAAAATATACCTACAATTTCTTAGCCATCTCTTTTTATATTAGATCATCATGATTCTGTTTTGTCAAATTTAACTGGGTATTTCTGATCATTCTGTTCCATATGATTGGAGTTTTCTGCTGCCAGTTAGATCTGTTACAATAATAGCACATATTTTGTGTGTGCATATTGCATGTACACGGCACATTGTTTCTCACATTGTTCAACTTGCGTCGTTTGAAAAAAAAAAAAGTATGTCTATATGCATTGTTTTTGCTAAGACTTGGGATGCAAATATCACTGTTAGAGAAGTTTGGTAATATTTATTGCAGATAGCGTTATTTAACAAATTCCTGTGGGGAACTCAAGTAACAAATTGGGGAACTTGTTTGCAAAAATACTAATAAATATGGTGAGAAAGGTACCGGTAATGGAAATTAAAAAAAAAAAATTTAATGGCATGCTGCATCAAAGATGAAACTGAGGTTGCCATGTTTGTGTGCCGACTGCGGAACTGAAAATGGCTTGTCTTCTGGATGGCAGTGGAATGGCACATTCCTGTACCCAATTTAGTCGGGCATCTCAGCGTTCTTCTTCAAGCCCATCCTACTTGCTCTGTATGCGTGCATGTAGCACCGATGACACACTGTTTGAGTGTGTACCATAATTCTGTGCAGCAACCTTTACAAAGATATTATTCACTTGATGTTAATCCTTGTCCAAGTTTTCTCTTCATCTTTTTATCGTTCGCGATAAATCAGCAGAGAACATGATGTACGTTAATTGGTCTTTAGTATCGGTCACAAATTGTGTTCGTTATCCCTTCATTTTACAAACATATTTTCCTGAATGTTGCAGTGAAACATTTTCTCTCGCTGAATTGTTGAAATTGTCTGACGTAGAAACTCATCATCATCTCAAATTTACCCAGCTTTTACAATATTAGAAAATGATCTCTTTTTTTATTGACCTGGAGAGCATGGTATATATAGGGGGGGGGGGTATATGTTTGTTTGTTTGTACTGTCTATAGCTTTTTAAACTGTAATTGATATCCTGAGCAAAGATACTGATAATGTGTGTGTGATGATTGATACATAACTGGAGGGAAACAAAAAGTGTACAGAGCTGAGAATGCTCAAATTTCCTATTATTTAATGGTACTGGAAATCATTATTTTTGCAATTTCACTATGGTGATGCTATAATCGTTGAAATGATAAAACCTCACTGATGGTAAAAAATTTCTGGAGACAACTAATTTTGTCTTGAAAAAAAAAAATTGAGGGCAGTGGTGTAAAAAGTATTATCATACAGCTCTGTGAAAGTTGGCAATTCAGTGCAAGTCTGTGGTAGAGAAGTCAGGGGGAAATATTAATCAGTGATATTTCTTAGGTTAGGAAATAACATTGAAGTAACCAATATGTGTTCTTAATTCATGACAGTTGTGCTTTCTATCTGACTTACAATTGAAATTGTCAACAGTAATATAATTAACTTATATCACTACATTTTGTGATTAAGGTCATTCATATTACTTGAAAAATAATTTGTAAAATAAAAAAAAAATATTGAGAACTGTTTTAAGATTGGTGACTTGTGAATCATGTTTAGATAAGCACTGTGTATAACCTCTATTTCAACTCTCGTTTTTTTTTTCCATTGAAAATTCTTCTTCGGTGAAAATGTAGCATTTCAAGCCTATTTGATTTTAGATGTTTCGCCTTAAAATCTTTGACCAAATTATGCATCTTTGGAATGCAAAGTAGTCTGTTTTTTTCATGCTGTATTATAAGACTACCCCTGTAAAATTAGAGTTCCTGGAATTACGGCTAAAAAATTCATTTAATGTAGGCACATATCCATCACATGTGAATTGATAGTACTTATAGAGATCATGTTGTGTATCTCCATCTAACTGCATGTGTATATTGGTGTATGAGTGAAATACACTACTCCACATTTTTCTGTCCAAACTGCACATGTATATTCTAAACTCCTTTCTATTTCCTGTGTAACTTGCACATTCCTAATATTGTTACCGTAACATTGTTAGATTGTTGTTCCGTAGTATTGTGGGTTTGACATATGCTTGCCCCACCTTGTGGGAGGTTACAGAGAAAGTCATTTCATTTCATTCATAGCTAAGCGCCATAATGAGCACTGCTATTTCGGGCATTTTCAAAGCTGATCAGTGGAGTTGAAACACAAACAAACAAACATAAATTTTAAATATTTAAATTTTATGCATAATAAAGGGAGTAATTTTATGCATAATAAGTAAATACGAGTTGTAAAGAATATCAGTTAGAATTGTGTTTTTTCTTTTCACTACAGAATTTCAAAAATGTCAACAAAACTAGAAAAGACAAGTTCCGACTGATGATGATAAAATTGTACAATCTTTTTTTTATAAACGTCATATGATTTGCATATCATTTACATATTATTTGCATATACTTTTCATATATTACCTATAGCCCACACTTTATTTTATTGACCATTCCGACAGTGTAATCCAATATCTGGCTAAAAATTGCTGAAAACATTATCGACAGCGCGGTGAGTAGAAGAGCTTAGTCCTGAACATAGCAGGCTGCGTTCAGTCAGGATCAAATATTTCTAAACTAAACAAATTAAATTTTGCTATAAAAAAAATTATTTCATGTTCAACCTGTAACAATACATTTTATTTTTGTTTTTTTAATAATAACAGACACAAATGACAGGCTGTGATGGTTTGGTAATACCAAGTAAAAATAAGCAACATGAAAGTGCTCATCCGTAGATAATTTGTGATAACAATCATCTACCATATTTTCTCTATTAGAAGCACATACACTGTAATTTAGGCAAACAGCTCCCTTTTGCACCTCCACCCCTAACCCTAACACTAACCCTACCCATACTCTCCAGCACTCCAATTAAATTGTATATGCCCCTCCTAAGGAAACCTATAGTTATCTAGAGGGGGCATTTACAATTGAATTGAGGGGCTTGGGGTGAGGGTTAGATTTAGAGGCGAGGAGCGAAAGGAACTCTTCCCTAATTTAGCATTAAAGGGCGGTGATCGTCGCGCCACGTCCTGTTCGATATGGGACTCATAGCGACGTATACATCGCGTGTAAAATACATTGTTTGTTCTCATGAAATTCGAACATGCGATGACTACTGCTCTTTAAAGTTGTATTCCTACTTCATATTATATGCAGAACTTCTTCCACTGGTTATTTTGATCACCATAAAACTTTGAAAAATGATAGAAACAGTTGTTATGGCAATAAATTTGGGAATCTTAGGGACACTAATACATTGTTCCCATTAGAAAAAGTTACGTTGGCATAAGTTGTGTGATATAAATAAAAAAAGATAAGGATCTCATATTTTGCGTTCGCACCAGCAACTTTTTGGTTGGCCATATATTTCTGTCTTTCGTGTACTATATTTGAATCAAGCAATAATAGTTGCGAATACCCCGCCATCAAAACGGTTTAAACTCAGCCATTATTAAATCCATTTATGTTGTCGTCGGCATAACTTTTTCACAACTTTTGGTTTTTTTGACGTAAGTTACGGCCTAAAGCGTCACAAAAAACAGATGAGAACAGAGTATGAAGCTAGCCTGCACTGAAAGTCGTGGTGTCTAATCAGCAAATCAAACTTAATTTTTGTTGTTATATTTACAAGTTTTTCAGGAGAGGTTTCAAAATTTGATTTCATGATTCAATTTGATAAGATATCTCACAAACTAAACAAACCCCAAATATTACTTTTAGGGCTCATTGGGAAAATCAGAAAATTTTGTGAAAATTTCATACAAAGTGGAAATGCAAACAAAAATCCCCATCTTAGTAAACTTAAATCATTTTTGACTTAATAACATCTTTTTTTTTAGTCTTCTTATAACTGAAATAATGCTGTAAGTTACTGATAATTTTGTACTGTAATATAACATTTTATTCACAAAATATTTTCTCCAAAATCCTGTAAAATAATTATTGATAGAAAAAACATAATCATCAGAACTGTGTAAGCAAAATTAAAAAATATATATTTTGGTACGAGTTTTCAAAAAGTAATACAAATATAATATTTCCAGACAGAATCAATATCTGAATATATGTTTGCTTTTGTTGATCACAGACTGGGCTATGCTGGCCGATGTAAGAGGAATATTAATGTGGATATTCTATATACGTAAATATCATAATTATGTTTATTTTGTCTCACATGTTATTT